AAAGTTCCATAAAAAAAGTTTTAATTCCCTCCTTTTTTTTTTTTTTTTCTTTTTTGTTTGGTTTTGTTTGGTTTTGATGGAAATAACAACTACAGAAATTCAGAAGTAAGGCACCAGACAACAATTAAAAAAAAGAAACGGTGTTTTTCCTCCACTTCGTCATACAAAAAAAGAGAAAAAAAAAAAAAAAAAACATGAAAGCTTCACATACATGCAAACATCATACACACATGTCCATATAAATATAAATATGGCAAAGGAGGAAAAGAAACAGGAGGTTTCAACAGCAAAAAAGAGAAAAGAGGAAAGAAAAACAAGTTACATGACGCATCCGTATTTTTTAAAAAAATAAATATATTCATGTCACATCCGTAACGCCTCAATGCCACGTGTTACGCGGTATGTAGTTGCTCCATAGAAGTACGGATAAATGATACATGCACATATATATATATATATATATAGGGTCATGGATGCCATTGACTCTTGAAGTAAACATGATGTTTCTACACGTTAGTCAAATTTCATTCATGTAAACACAATCCTGCAAGAATACCCCTTCTGCTTCTTCATATTCTTCTCTTTCCTCCCTCCCTGCCTTTGGGTTTTTCTACTTTGCTTTCTTTTCCATTGCGTCCACGTTTCCCTCAGTCTTCTCCTTTTCTTATATATATATATATATATGTGTGTGTATGTGTTTGTGTGTGTTCACAACCTTCTTTTCGCCTGTATTTCTCCTACTCCTCCTCCTTCTTCTTCTTCTTCTTCCCCATCTTATGCCGGCGCATGGACTAACGCTTGAATTACAATTTCTGCCAAATCTACGGCTGACAACATTTTATTCTGCTGCAATTTTGAAAAGATGAGCGTATCATCCATAAACATCTCAAAAGCACCGGACTGAAGAATACTCCCACCTGTAAGATTTGCTACAAATCCAGCGGCAATGATCATTGTACGGTTTTGTTCCACCCATCTCACAACATTCGGAGGAAATACCCCTGCAAAGTAGGGTGCACCAATACCAATAATAAGTGAAGCAATAAAGAGAAGAGACAAGAATGAACCAATCGTTTCCCGTACAATACCTACAGAGTAAACAGATGGAATAAATTTCAAAATTGGTTCTTGATTCGTATTTGGCGGCAAACTACGGGAGATGTGGTGTACCATCTCTTCGTAGTGCCGCCGGTAGCCTCAACCGGAACAATATTCCACACGGAGTACATGCGGTCTGTTTGTCGTTGTGTCTCGTTGTCGTCTTAATTTTTTAACAAGTTTCTCCTTCTTTTCTAATGTTATGATGGCATGAATAAGCTCCTGTTTGGATTGTAAATGATGAAACGGTTCCTTCTTCTCATGTAACATCTGCCGTAGGTCACTTACCTCAAGCATTTCAAGATATTTGAATGAAGAATCATCATCGCCCTCCGTATCAGATGCATCCCTGTCATCATCACCAGCTGCACCATGAACGGTTGTAAACATTACCAACAAAAATACTAGAAGTAATGAAAAAAGAGTACGTGGGCAATTCATTTCCTTTTTTTTTCTTTCTTTCTTTCCTTTTCTTATTTTCACCGCAGTAGGGAAGGGCGGAAATAAAAATAATAAATGTGGGCTCCCCCCCTTCCCCCCTCCTCTCCCCTCCCCTCCTGAGGTTCCTACACACGCAACAGAAATCCCACAAGGACCTGCCCGAAGCCATTGGATGCAGAAAAGGACGCATCAAACGCCAACAACAACAACAAAAAAAAAAAAAAGAGAAAAGAAAAGAAGAAGAAGAGAATGGTGAGGAAACGAAGAGGGAAAAAAATAAAATAAAATGAAAAGAGAACTACCCACACATGACAACGTGTCAAGAAGCTTTCTCCCTTACCTATACATGTTCCCTCCCACATGAGAGAAACTAAATAATAATAAATAAAATAAATAAAATAAACCCAATAAAGTAAAGGAAGAAATAATCCAAAAAAAAAAAAAAAAACACATGCACACATTGTAGCTTAAATCTATTTCAGCACTACCGGGGATTTATCTAATAAATCTCAGCCTTCTTCGTTTTCCTGCATTCTGTTCCTTCTAAAATATATATATATATATATATATATATATATCTTGAGTGCGTGTGTGTAGATGTATCTAGGTGTGGGTGCGTTGATTCTTCCAAACCATCATTCATTATACACGCAAAATAAAAATTTCATTTATTTCTATATAAATCAATGAAGAAAAGGCAAATATTCAAATCTCTATGTCTGTCTCTCTCACACACTTCCCTCACCATATTTGCATGTATATATATATGAGTATGTATGTACTTTATTGCCTTTTTTTTTTATCTGATTCAACCTTCTTTTTCACTAACTTAGAAGCTTTTCAAGAGAAATGTAAATGCATGGACTATAAAATGGTGCGGCATGTACATGCATGTCTGTCCTTCTGTAGAAAACACGCGATGGAGACCATGTGACTTCATGTCGTTGGTTGCTGGGCTATGGTTGTTCATCCATAGTCACAGTCAAAAGCGGGCGTTCTTCAATACGTTCAAAAAACTTCCGCATCTCCTCCGCCCATGCATCCGCACGCGCTTTTCGCGCCGCCTCTTCCGCCTGACGTTGAGACTTCTGAAACGCTGGCGCAGAGCGATGACCCTCGGAACCGTGTACTTGTCGTCCATCCTCACTGTTGTCAGTTAATTCCCTTGTCTCGGCTAACGGCAGCGAGGACGCGTGATGCGCAAGAGATAAGGGCCGGCGACCAAGTGGCAGCCGCACGATAGAGTCGTCGCGCAAAACATCCACCACCGCCCCACCTTCTTCCTCATCGTCTTCTTCCTCCAACGCCGTCCATAGTGGCGTGCTGGGACTTGGAAGAGTATAACCCGGCCGCATGGATAATTCTCGAGATTCCGTCGGTGGGTCTCTCACCGGCAACAGTGGGGGCATGCGGTTCCAAGGCGTAGGCGTTGGTGTTGCGACGGACACACGCGCAGCCGCAGGGGATGGTGTTTGTTGCGGTTGATTCGCTGCCATTGCTTTTTTAGCAATAGTGCCGCTCCGTCGACCATCCTCATGAAGGGAGAGACAACGGCGCACAAGTGCTGGTGAGGACGCGTCGTTCCGCTCGGGAGGGCGTGGCGCACGAGTCAAAACAGTTGCCGGTGTCGCCCTCAGAACATGGACACACTCTTCTTCTTTTTCTTCTTTTTCCTCGTCGTTATCGTCGCGTTCTCCCCAGACAAGATCGATGGACATCTCACGGTTCTGCCGTCGGCCATGTGTTTTCATGGGTGAAGCCCGTACCGTTTGTGTGCTATGCGGCGGTGTGGAGCCACTCGTCATCGTCGCGGTAAGCCCATCCCCCATTTGTGCGTCACTTCTGCCGCTGCTGCTGCTGCTGCTTCTCTTCCTCTGATCGCTCTTCTTGTGTCCACCCGCGCCCGGTTGGACGACGTGTTTTTGGGCCCCAACCAATTGCGTTGCCCATGTGCGTCGTGTGACGGTGAGGCCAATGTGCTCCAGGGCGTCATCGCATTCCTCCCGTTCATCGCTGACGGTGAGGCGGCGCGTCGTGCTTGCTGCAGCAGGGTACATGTTTCCTTTATAACTTTTTTTAAATTTTTTCTTCTTCCTTATTCACTGATATACACACGTTACTGTATCGCTGCTAAGCACACACACACACACACAGACACACAGAGAGAGAGAGAGAGAGAGAGACAGAGAAAGGGACAGTTACAAACAACAACCATACAAAGGTGTTATCCGCATAATAATCTCTCACACACCAATTGAATTCGGACTATTATTTTCTTTTGTTGTTTTGCTTTAGACAAAAGGCATTTCTTCTAATTTCCTTGTAAATTTATTTATAATATCGTTAATATTATTTTTAATTCTTCAGTTTCTTTCTCTCATGCGAGCAGAACCGCCGTTACCACGTGCAATGTGCGACGCACCACCTCCCTTCGTGGCACGCCCACGTCCACCACCGCGTCTCATACCCTCTCTTTCTTGGGTGTGCTGCTGCTGCTGCTGCTGCTGCTGCTGGTAGTGGAGGTATTGACGTGTCTGCCCACCACCTTCTTCTCTTTCGTACCGCGCCTTCTTGGAATGGTGAGTCCTCCCCTGCTGCTGCTGCTGCTGCTGCTGTTGTGGTGGTGGTGATGATTTTTGAGACGTTGTCGCACCCTTCCCACGGCCGTTCCCATCAACCCCCGTCATGTCCGCATCTTCTCCCAGCGTAACTGTTTCACGTAACCGGCGCAGACCACCGCGGACTTCTTTGGACCACTTTTCTCCCTCTTCCTCCGTCATGTTGACATCCACCAATGCCGTCTTGGAGACATCGCCGTAGCGGCGAGAGCTGCGCGTGGGGTCAACCTCGCGAAATCCGCGTTGCCGTCTTCGCTCAATCTTCAAACGATCCCGCCGGTTCGCATCTTCTTGAAGGTACGCCGCATAGCAACTCATTGGGACCAGCATGTTGAGCTGACGGTCATCCCGAGAGAGAATTTCCTCCACCGTGAGCGTAAAGTCTTCGGGAGCCACCTGACGATACTTAAATCGTGTCTTGATCGCGCCTTGGTCCAGCGTGGAGTCGTGGTGCAGTTGCCAGTACTCTTTCTCCTTCCTTTCTAGGTCCTCCTGCAACTGCCGCAATGTCTCCTCCTTCTTGCCGTCAGTTTCATGGCCCTTCTCACCCTTCTTTTTCTTGTTCTCACGGATCATATGCTCAATGTGTTCGCGGCGCCCCGAAAACGAAGCCGTCTCTTCGGCTTGCAAGGAAACCGACGGGTACAATAATGCCAGCGCATCGTCGACAACATGGATGCCATCATGCTTGTTCGGCTTCCTGTTCGGTGTCTTTTTCCTTGTCATTGCCACGGCCTCTTCCAGCGATTGGGCCTTGTACCACTCCGGTTCTACTTCCTCCTCCTCTTCCTCGCTACCCCTCTCTCCAACTGCATCATCTTTGCCCCTGCCATCATCATCATCATCGCCATCTTTCATTGTTCCCACCTCTTCTTCTCCTTCTTCAAAAAGGGCCATTTCCTCCTCGTCTACATTATTCTCATCATAGTAAGCATCATCAAAAATCTGCGCCATCTTCTTGTCAAACTTCTGTGGATCAAACTCTTCCTCCAGATCCTTCTCGCTCCACAATTCCCGCAGACGAGCCATCGCTGCTTCCTCGTCCTGATCTTCATTTCCACGCAACTTCTTCTTTTCCTTCTTATTACAAATATCGCTACCCTGGTTCCCCCTAATGCCCGCAACGGAGGCAATGAGTGCCCGCTGAGACTCAATTTCCTGTCGTTTCAATGTCTTAAGCCGACGCAGCTCCGCTACCTGTTGCTCCCGCAACTCCTTGATCCTCTCTAGCCTGCGCATACGGGCATCTTTTCGCGAGGACTTAACACTTTTGCGCATTATACCGGCGGCATGCTCGCCAATAGCGCGCGGGAAGGTCTGTACATGATCGGCCTCCTCCTCTTGATGACGGTAGGCGCGGTCCTGATAGGCGCGCTCCCACAGCTCTGCTTCCGCGTAGAAACGCTCATCCTCCTCTGCCTGTGCTAACTCAGCCAACGCAGCGTAGTTGTTCCCCTTTTCTTCCTCTTCCTCCTCTTCTTCTTCTTCAGCTTCCGCATGAGAGCCATTCTCATAATCCCCGCGATTCAACACCTTTTGCTTTCGTTTCTTGTTGTTCTCTGGTTTCCAAAGCTCTTCCACAAAAAACTCACGAAGAAATGCTTCATCGGGATCTTCGTTCGCAGGATTCGATGTGTCTGCTTCACGGATCGAAAAGGCCCCCTGCAGCAACCGCCTCGCCTCTGAAGAACTTGTGTGCTCCGCCTCCCTCTCCCCCGTCTGCATGGCGGCGTCAACAAGCTGCACATCAAATGTCTCCGTGCTTTCCGCGACGCTCTTCAGAAAGGACTCACGCAATGCACGCTCCTTGGCGGTCCGCGGCTGAATGCGTCGGTTCCCCTGCGGCGGATGACGGCCCTCGTCATCGTCGTTACCTTCACGGCCACTCGCGTGGGTCTCAACCCCCGTGACAACCCCCCGCCGGTATTCATCGGCGAGGGTAAACTTCTTCCGCTGCTGCCGCTTCTTTGCGATGGACTGCGTGAAGATCTCCGTGTTTTCACGTACCTGCTCCTCTGTCGGTGGGAAAAAAACATTCTGCGGCCCAAGCGGGTCATCCGTACCGTCCTCCGCATTTCTGTTTCCGTCGCCATGTGTAGATGAGGCATCAATCCCTTTCTTCTCGTCGTTGCCGTGTTTCTGCTTCCCCGCTTGTTTAACGGCCGACTGACGAATGGCAAGAAACGCCCTGGCAAATGCCAACTCCTTTTCTTCGGTCAACAGTACCGCTTCATCGTCCTCTTCGTCTTCTTCATCCTCATCCTCCTCCTCCTCCTCGCCTCCGTTAAGGCGGAGTCGTTTGCCGTACTTTTCGGTGAGCTGCTGAATCTCCTTCCGCCGCTTGACCTCCTCGTACTTCGCCGCGTACTGCTGGTTGATACGAATACCACCATCGTCACCGTCAGCCGTCGTGTTGTTAATGCCATTCCTCTTCGTCTTTTTAATTTTACTCATGGATTCCACGTCCGCCTGAAACATCGGCCGCCGCTCTTCTTTCCACGTGTCACCGTCACGGCTGCCGCTGCTGTCCGTGGATTCCGAATCGCTCCTCGCTTTTTGGGGTGCGGTGCCAACAGACGACATTTTATTCTTTCCAGAAAAAGGGGCATACGCGTGTGGGTCACGGCGCCGCTCACGCATGGCGGCGGTAACCATCTGCTGTGCCAATTCTTCATCTTCCTCGTCGCCATCGTCGTTGGAAGAGGAAGAATTTGCGAAAAGATCCTTCTTGAGCATTACCGATGTCGCCAGCCTACTTCTTATCCTTACGGTCCCCCTTTCTCTCACTTAAATTGTAGGTATGTCTGTCTGTCTGTGTGTGTGTGTGTGTGTGCAACTCTCTCTTCTTTCGTCTCTTGGGTGCTCTTCGATAGCGGCAATAGAAAGCAATCGTCACAAGGCGTGTCGTATGTGTGATCAGACAGTACTCACCCCTCTCGACACAACAAAAGGAACACTCACACACACACTCACATATATATATATATAAGGGGTGTTTAAAAAACACACGTAAAAAACCATCAGAGAGCAATGAAAGATGAATGAATTCTAATTCCCACAACCCCAATGGATCTCAGCCGTTCAAAGAGACACACATACATACAGTCTTTCTCCCTCCCTCTCACTCTCTCTCTCTCTCTCTCTCTTCCCTTCCCCTCCCAATACATAGCAAAAAAAAAAAAAAAAAAAAAAACAACGTCTATAACAAAAATAATATAACTTTTCCTCGTTACATGCGGGGATGAATGTATTTCTATGTTACGGTCCGCGTAAACCGCTGCACAAAAGGACACGACGCTCTCACACACATACATACATACATATATATATATATATATCAAGAAAGCCTCTTCTTTTTAATTATTTACTTCTTTCTCGGTCTCCTTCTCACACAACTTCTTTGCTTTGTAAATATCATTGCATGTATGCATTTAAATTTTCATTGTGTTTCAAACAAAAGTACACGTATACATTTACAATAATGAATGAATAAAGGCCTCTTTTCGCCCACATTCATTGCATTACAGAAAGGTATGTATACAACGTCTTGGCCATCTTTTTCTTTGGTCATGTGCATGAAAATGGCCTTTTTTTCCCCCTCTTTAAGGCACCTCAATTAAACAGTATAAAAGAAGAAGAAAGCTCAAGGTTATCCAATGACAGGCCATAAGAAGTGTGTGCATGCGTGTATGTATGCATGTGTAAAGGTATCCATTTGTATTACATATGATGTCAAGCTTCTTGTTGGGTGAAATCGCCTTTTATTCCCCACGCAGGCGCACCCAGACATCCATGTAGAACCCAAGCAGCTTTTCCATGGCCGTAAACTGCACGGCGGTGAATAAAGGAGACAGGGATGCAATCGTCAACAGCATGAGTTCTACACTTTCCAGGGCCGATTCCCCAATGCCGCTATCACCACCACTTACGGCCCTATTTTTGCGATTGGCCTCGGCACGCGTGATGAGGTCACGAATAGCCACATCACGCGTGGAAAAACACCGGATGCTGCTGCGTACCATACCAAACTCATAGCCAATAAAGCCGCCAATGCTGCGTAAGATTTCCACCGCAAGTACACCGCTGCTCTGCTCTGCTCCCACATCAAAACGAACGCTGCGCCGCAGAAACTCAAGACATGCGTTCCACGTGAGTGGCACGCCAGGGACATCGTCGTACAACGTCAATAGACCCGTCGCATTGAGCACCGCACGGCCATACAACATGTGGGCAAAAACCGTCAATGGGTGTTGCACCAAACACTGTGAAATAAGGGCAGAACAAACGCGGTAAATAATGGCCCGCAAAATAACTCGGTGCTCTGCATCCGCCTTTTTTCGATTCTCCGCCTCTTCACGACGACGCCGGCGGCGCTCTTCGCTTTTGTGCTCGTCGAGTTTCCGCGACCCCGATTCCACTTTGCTGAGGTCGTCGTGCGAGTGTTTGCCGGAAGCATCATGTGGCCTCCTCGCCGCTGCTCCTTCTTCTTTTCGTGTCTTTGCCGCCGGCTCTCTATTCGACACGCGACTGCTGTTCAAACTCCCCGCAAAACTGCCCGCGAGATCCCCCCGCTCATCCTCGCTGTTCATGTTGCTTGCAATTTCCTCCTTGGCCTCTCCACTGGACGCAAACGCCCGTCGTGCGTAGCGGCGCAACAGTAAATACTCCGTGGCGTCCACAATTCTCACAACGGCGCGCTGGCACAACTGCGACGCCGCCGGTACGACGAGCATTTCCAATACAACCCCCGCAAACCCAACGGCGATGCCTTTGCTGATCCCCGCTGGTGAGTAGCGCAGCGGCCCCGTCACGGGCGATAAATCACGCACGCAGAAGAGGAGAATCGGGGTCAAGACGCTAAACGCGATGGGATCCGTCATTGTGTGAGCAGAAAGGCTCAATGTCCATCCAAGCGCCTTCCGCCACGCGCGACGGCTTCGAAGGTTACGGACAACCAGATTTGTCTCAAAGAACACGCGCTCCATCAGATAGTGCTGAGCAACGTTCAACAGGAAACGTGCCGTGAGAAACGGGATCACAACTTCCGGCGCAAACACCGCGCCCGCGCTGAGTTGCAAAAGCCGTCGTGCAGAGTCACTGAGGTCTCTAAATCCCAACAGCGGTAATGTCTCCGCATCCGTCTGTACCTGGCAGAAGAAGCGGAGAACTGTGATAGGGGTGGCACGCAGCACGTGCGTCAAAAGAACTGTCTGCCTTGTGACGTCAATATCGCGCCAAGTACTCAATCGTTTCTTATCGTCGGTTTCTTTGCCGCGTTCGGAATGACCGCCGCTGCGACTGCGGTGACGGTGCGATCGTGACACGTCCATCGCATTTCGGTTGGGCACCGGCGGCGGCAGCTCTCCGCTGGTGTACGCCGACACGTTCAGACTCGTGTTTGCCGAACCCGTGCGGCTTCCAGGCTGACTAGATCGATGTAGTCTGCGACCCCGCTGCTGCTGCTGCTGCTGCTGCTGTTGTTGCTGTTCTTTTTCCCTCCCCTCCTTCGGGGCGCGTTTAACCCGCTTTCGCACAAGTGTCTCCGGGCTGAAGGAACGCACGGTGACGCAAACTACATCGTACATGAGCCATGCAACGTTGATGGGGTGCATAACGTCATAGTAATGCATCGCTCACACCACCACCACCCTACTTTTTTTGGAAATTTTAAACAATCTATGGCGGAATTCGGTGTGCTGCTGAACACACAAACAGGCTGACGGCACAAATGGTGAGGATGATGACAGCAGTGGTGGTATTTGGGTGCAGAGAGACTCGATACTCCAGCCACCTACCTCCTTTTTTCCTTCTCTTCATAGCGCAGAAGAAGAAAAAAAGGAAAATAAGGGAAACAAAAAGAAGAAAAAAAAAAAGCCGTTGTGTCAGTGCTGCCCCGCCATGCGCTCTCCCCTCCCGCAATTGGATGGAAATGGCATCATCACCAGAAAAAAAAAAAAAAAAGAACAAACAGACGCACAATAAAACGCAACTCTCAGAAAAATGTACGGAATAAAACCTCAGTCTTCCCACTTCTCAGCGCCACAGCCACCAACACCATCTGCACGATGTCACTTTCTCTCTCGTCCCATTTCCCCCCCACTTTTTGATTTTTTTTTCTCTTCAAGAATGCGCTACCGCCCCAATGATTCTGCCATTAACATACGCGCCGTTCAGCGCCGCCACGGCTGCAGCCACAGTATCACCGTCCCGCGGCAACTCCATCACCACCACGCCACCGGCACCGTCTACATCATGAAGACCCAAATGAAGAGAACGATCCGAGCCGAAACCTAAAGGCGGCACCTCTGGCAAGCTCCCCACACCCGACGGCGCCGTGTCGCAAAGTGATTGCCGTAATGCTGCCGCCGGACGGAAGACACTCAACGGACGTCGCCCAACAAGCTGCTCCAGCATGGAGTTCAGGTGACATTGCTGCACCCCCAAGTCAACCCCATACAACACAACACGGGAGGACGGCAATGAAGTTCTACCAGAGCCACTGCAACCTTCCTGTCCCTCCTGGTAACCCTTTTTGCTGTTGCTATCTTTGTTATCATCGCCTTCGCCACGGAAACGGCCTTGGTACGTGGCAAGCTGTCGGTCCAACGCAGAAAGAAGTTGTTTCTGTCGCCGCTCCACCTCCGTGGCGGGTGAAGACTTCGAGTAATCCTCCTCGTACCGTCGTCGTCGTCTTCCTGTGCCGTGCAGCTCATCATCCCCTTGCTGGCTTTTTTCCTGCTGACGATGCGGTCGATGCGAGTCACGCCTGCGTGACGAAGATGAGGAGCGGCGCCGACGACGGTGACGTCGATACGGGGACTCACGCCGTTGCCGTTTGCGACGGTAATGATGATCGTAATAATCTGGATTTTCCTCAAATTCATTAGACACACTCTCGTCACTATCAACATCATCGTAATCAACGTCATCGACTTCCTCACGAAGATCGTAGCTTCGTTTGCGACGCCGCCCGTGACGGCTGCCTGGTCTTTTCACAGCGCCGCCAATTCCCCCTCCAATGTAGCCGCTGCCGGTGCTGCGGTGGTAGTGATGGTGGGAGCGTCGTTTGTCGTCATCCTCGTAGTCCTCATGGGTGGATAAACGGCGGGAGTAGTTACGGTGTGACGCCCATTTCCCACCACCGCCTCGACTGTCCACCGGGTAGGGGCCACGCTTCCATCCAGACATCACGCGGCACACCGAGACGTATGATTCCACACCAGATTTCACACACGCACAAAAAGTCTCTTTCTCTCTCTCTCTCTTTATTATTTTTATTTCCGTCTTGCAGCAAAAATAACAACAACAACAAACCCCGCACCAGACGGCAATTTTGTGTACAATAATTAATGTTTCTGTTCTTGTTTTACTGCCTTAATTGTGTGTTTCTTTCTCCTCCTCCTCCTCCTCCTCCTTTTCCTTTTCCTTGTGAAGTACCGGAACACACATGGCACAGGGCACAGCAATATATATGTATACAGAGAGAGAGAGAGACAGAGAGGGAGGGAGAAAAAGACATTTAAACAACAACAACAACAACAAATAAATAAAAAAAAGGAGGCATGCGTATTACACAAGAGATGAAACACAAATAATAATAAATAATAATAAACCCTCCAACCCACTTCTCGCTCGCTCTCGCTCTCGCTTTCACTCACAAACGCACACAAAATTCCCTCATCGTCTACTCTCGGAAAAGAAATAATAATAATAATAATAACAAAACAGGCACAAACAGGCAGTAAATAAAAATAAATAAATAAATTTAAATAAATAAATAAATAAAAAAAGAAAGAAACATCGCCACATTTAAGGCCAAGAAATTAAAAAAAAAAAAAATTAAAAAATTAAAAAATAAATAATAAATAAAAACTCCAGTAGATAAAATGAATCCATATCCAGATAAAAGAGAAATAATAGAGAAAATTGTCCTTCCGTACGCTTCAGAAATCCACAACAACTAAGCCAAACGAACAAACAAACAAAAAAAAAAACAAAACACATACAGAAACAACGCAGGCCTCTCACAGCTAAACCGTCGCTCAATACAAAGCACACACACACACACAAAAAAAAAAAAAAAAAAGTAGAATGCCAAAAAGCATACGCGTGAGCCATAAGAAAAAGAATACATTCGCTCTATTTTATTTTTCATTTTTGATGTCTACTCACCCCTACACCCCTTATTCGTCCTCTCCTGGTATGTCTACACGTTCTTCCATGTATTCTTTCCTTATTTTTTAAGGGCGGCTGGACCCACTTTTGCCTTCGCATTCATCACTGCCTGGCGTGTTGCTTGCGAGGCCGGTACCAGCGGTATTGTCTGCTTGTAACTTGTTTCGTCTCCCTCCTTATCGCCCGTCTCTACAATGTCCTTTTGGATAGCATCAATCTCTGCCTGCATGTCGCGCCTGTGCTCCTCCTCCACTGTCTCATCATCCATGATGTCCGGGGAAAGCGGCTTCTGCCCTTCTTTCGCGGCATCCTTTTCCTTTCGGGACCCAACGCAGTATTTGGCACGAAATATATCAAATATCTTCCGACGTTTCTTCACAACTGTCTGGTTTGGTAAAGAGGCGCTCTTCCAGCCTTGCTCAGCCTGCTCCTCACTCATCTGCTGACTCAACTCTCCTTTCATCGCATTTTGTTTGCATTCTTCCTCCGCCTTTTCTCCTTCTTGCTTCTGCGGTTGCCATTTCTTTTTCTGCGGCACTTTTGGGGTCAACGGGGAATTGATGCCCCCTGGCACGGGCGGCGTGTAGCCGTGAAGCGTAAAAAACGGATGCCGCAGCGCCTGCATCGCCGTTAACCGCTTTGTGCTGTCCTGCTCGAGCATCCGGACAATCAAATCCTTCGCCTCCTCGCTGACACCTTCCCAGCCTTGCCTAGGGTCAAACAACACTCCGCGATTAATGCGCCGCAGGAGATGGCGTCTTTCTTCGCTTGTCGTCACTTGCCCGTGAAACGGTGGGCGACCAGAGAGCATGACAAAGAGTACAATCCCAGCAGACCACACGTCGACACTCTTCACTAATTTTTGTGTGGTGCAGAGTGGTTTCGTACCTTGAGCCTCAATCCCACGTATCACTTCTGGCGCAATGTAGAAAGATGTGCCGCACGGTGTTGACTGCACATCCCACTCTTGTACCAGTTTGGCGAGACCAAAGTCCGCAAGTTTCACCTCAATATTCAGCGACTTTTCCCAATCCTCCTCTGTAAAGTCAGCACTTTTTTTTTTCGAAGAACCCTCGTTACCGATTGGATTCACAATATTAAGCAGAATATTCTCCGGCTTAATATCGCGGTGTACAATACATTGTCCATGCAAATAATCAATACCGCATAAGATTTGATACATGATTTGACGTGCCACCCCTTCTGGTATAAAATGATTACGTACAATTAATTCAAAAAGGTCCCCTCCCATTAAATCCAATGAAAAATAAATGTGATGTGGGGTAGTGATAGATTCATGTAATTGAATAATATTTGGATGTGAAGTACGTCGCAGAATCTCTTGTTCATGTATCACCATTTCCGATACCTTTCCTCTTAACATCAATTTTTTAATAACTTTAAGAGCCCGCATGGTATTTGTCGGGCGATGTCGTACGGCAACCACCTGCGAAAAACCACCTTTCCCTAATAACGTGGCATTTTCAACATCATATAAAACACGGATGTCAGAAGATTCCACAACAGGTGTGGCTGGAACATGCATGGGTTTGTGTGCTAACAACATTCCAAGAAATAAATATATAAAATATATAAAATGTACTCCCGCCTGCCACCTCTTTCCCTTCCTTCTTTCCCTTCCTTTTTTCCTTCCTTCTTGTGGAAACGCAGACGCGGGACCTAAAAAAGTGTACTTTTTTCTTTTTTATTAAAAATTTCCCCCCCCCCTCCCTCCTTTCCCCTTCACAAATACGCACAGGCAGAGATTGACGGTCAAAAAAAGGGGGTAAAAACAAAACAAAACAAAACAAAACAAAACAAGAAAACAAAAGAAGAGAAAATAAAATGAAAAGGGGAAGAAAAATATAAAAAAAAAAAAAAACAGGGGTGGTCTGCGGTAGGACCAAAAAGCAGAAAAGGGGGGAAGGAAAGAAAGTGAGACAAGTGCACACACACACAGTGAAAAAAAAAGAAAAAGAAAAAGAAAAAAATAAATGGGAAATCTTCTTCATCTCTACCTGCAAGTCATTTTCCACCGGTTTTCTTTTCTTTTCTTTTTCTTTTTCTTTCTTCCGCATGCATCTTCTCTCATCCCGTGCGTTGTTACTTTTCTTTTTTTCCATTTTTCCCCCTTTCCCCCTCCCCTCCCCCTCTTTTTTTTTTTTTTTTCACGCCTCAGACACAAAAAATGTAAATACCCGTCTGCACCTCCCACAGTAGAGGCAGGGGTCGAGTCAACCACCCACAGAAATACACTCAATCAATCACTCACGGAAACAAACAAACAAACAAACAAAAAAAAGGGCAGTGAGTGAGTGATTGAGTGATCCCCTCCCTACTGCGCAGTGGAATGGACGCAAACGAAGTTTCACACCCCCAAAGACCACGAGACTGCAAAAAGAGAAAAAGTAAAAAAAAAAAAAGAAAAGAAAAAAAAAAAACCCAACAAAACCACCCTAAGAAACATGAGCATGCGTGTAGGTCTTGGTGTATGCATAGGGATGCGTACATATATATTATATATATATTATATATATATATGTGTGTGTGGGTATGTGTGGGAGGGGGAGGGGGAGTATTTGTTACATTATCCCTCCTTCGCATTCCTCCCCCTCCCTCTCTTTCTATTATTCCTTCCTTCCTTTCTTTCTTTCTTTCTCTCTCACATGCACATACACATTCCCTCTTTTTCTCTTTCTTTCCCTTCTGGCATCTCACACCTCATTTAAATTTCATTTGCTCAGTTAATCAAAGGGAAGTCTCGCGTATTTTTAAGGTCCCCCTTTCCACCCCTCCACCCCCAAAATTTTCCACCCAAAGTTTCGCAGAAAAACAAAAACAAAAAATCCCCCCCCAAAACAAAAACCCATAAAAAAAAAAAAAAAAAAGCAAAAAAAAAAAAAAAACAAGAAGGGAGGGGAGCAAAATTGACGTCATGTGCTCGTGCGTCACAGACAAAGTCAAAATATATCAAGGCGGCCCGCCATAGAGACTGTTCAACCAAAAATACCTCCACGTAAAGGCAAAAACTCTTCACTTCTTTTTCTCTTTTTTTTTTTTTTTCCTTCCTTCCTTTCGTTCTTTAATTCTCTGCACTTCAGTACTTCCCATCCTATGTGCATCACACACCTCCCTTCACTCTCTCTTCTCTTCCCTTCTCTTCCCGCAGCTGTGGAAAGGAGTATGCCATGGGGCGCATTTACACAGAAACACACACACACACACACACATGGACGCACATGCCCACAGACGTGTTGATTGAAGGGAAATTGAAGAAAGTCATCATTACGTCCTCATGCCGAGTCCCTCAACGTGCACTAGTCTGTCTTTGCGTGTCTGCGTGTGTGTGTGCACGGATCCAGGGGCAAAGCACGCAGGAGAAACAAGAAGTGCAAAAATATAACAACAACAACAGCAAAGAAACAAAAAAAAAAAGGAAAAGGAAGCAAATACGTCTCCTTCAAAAAAAGAAAGAAAAAAGGAAATAAATAAATAATAATTTCGTCTGAGCCTCAGTGGAGTGTACGGTACCCTCGCCATCTTCATCCCGCCACCCATGAAATCCAATGCACGCACACAACCATTCCAATGCCTTCTTACATTACAAATAGACATGGGTGCATGCCTATACATGTAAGGGGGTATTGGTATTAGTGGTAGTGGTGGGAAAAGAAAAAGATGTCAAGGTCGCTCTAAGGCCGCATGTAAATATATAAATATAAATAAATATAAATATATAAGTGTGTGTATGTGCAGGGAGAAAAAAACAAAATAAAACAAAAACAATTATTATTATTTTTCTTTTCTCTCATCCATAAAATTTTTCTTCCTTTTTTTTTTTTTTTTTTCTTCTTCTTTTGTTAACCGACAAGAAAATGGAGCAAAAAGAAGAAGAAGAAAAGAAAAGAAAAACACAAAATATTCCCCTCCCCTCCCTTCCCTTCCATTTTTATTTATTTATTTTTTTTTTTGTGTGTTTATAACAAACAAACGAACCAAAACAAAAGAAGAAAAAAAAAAAACCCCTTCCCTTTCAATTATTATTCCATACATATTTATTAATGTATGCGTGTTTGTCTGTCTGTTTGTATATAAAAATAAAAATAAATTTATAAATATCTTTCACTCCAATCGTTCCACATTTCTGTGCCCCTCCCCTCTCTTCCTCTCTGGCTGGCTGGCTGGCTGGCTGGCTCTCTCTCTTTCTCTGGTGAATACCCGCATGACGACATGTAAAATAAATGAAAATCCTGCGAGAATAAACGCATCGCATGCAGCGAGAGAAGAAAAAGAAAAAAAAAAGAGGGAAAAAGTGCCTAACGTCCATAAATAAAAAGCAAATAAAAAAAGAATAAAACAAACAAACAAACAAACAAAAAAAAGGAATCCCCCCATCATTCCATCACACATTTACATATATATATATATATTTATATGTGTGTCTGTGTTGTATGTTGGCTCCTTTTTCTTCCTTTTTATTCATT